AGAGCGAGATTTCATTTCAAAAAAAAAAAAAAAAAAGAAAAGAAAAGAAAAAGCACCTTGGGAGGCTGAGACAGGTGGATCACCTGAGTTTAGGAGGTTGAGACTAGCCTGGCAAACATGGCAAAAACCTGTCTCTACTAAAAATACAAAAATTAGCCAGGCATGGTGGCACATGCCTGTAATCCCAGCTACCTGATGCAGGAAAATCACGAATCCGGGAGGTGGAGGTTGCAGTGAGTTGAGATTGTGCGACTGCACTCCAGCATGAGTGACAGAGCAAGACTCCAAAAAAGAAGGAAGGAAGGAAGGGAGGAAGGAAGGAAGGAAGGTAGGAAGGGAGGGAGGGAGGGAGGGAAGACGGGCGGGCGGGCAGACACAATATACATTAACAAATCTATAGCAAAATTCTGGTAGCACCCTTAACAGTGAAAATGAAAATGAAAACTTTCTGAAGAAACTTGGCTGTAGGTAGGCCGTCAGTAACTCTGATAAATACTAAGGTGGAGTACCTTGTGTTTTCAGAGCTTTAGAAGGAGCCATCAGGCAAAGCAATGGGGGACTGGTTTCCTGGGGGACACACTTACGTCACTCTGCAGGTCATAGGCTTTCCTGGCTTGGATCACATCATTCTGGTCGGGAAAGCAAGACCAGTGGTGCAGGTACTGGCGATAGTCCACATCACTTGCTAGTGCCTGGCCTTCTTTGGCGGCGTTGATGGACACCATGTCCCCAGGGATGGAGATCTTGGCCTTGTGGTCGTTGTAGGCCTTTTTGTACAGCCTGTCATTCTGCATCTTCAACACATTTGCTGCCCAAACCAGTTTAGGGTCTTCCTTAGCATTGCGACATCCAATGTAATGGCCTTTCTGTTTCTCATAAGCAGTTTTGTACAGATACTGGTAGATGTGAACAGAGAAAAGAAGAGTAGTTACTCCAAACTCACTTTTTCTAGAGAGCCTAATCAAAATAACTCCATCTCCCTTAGTTTACCTTTTTTTTTTTTTTTTTTGTGGGTGTAGTGGGGGAATGCTGTTTTTATTTAAATTCAAGTCACAGCTGGGCGTGGTGGCTCACGCCTGTAATCACAGCACT